TCCAGTGACCACCCATCTGATCCCCGTGTCACCGACACTTGCTTGACATTGCTTGAGTCAAAACTCACTACTCACTTAGCCACTGGATGTTTGATAGGATAGAGAAGAAGCAAACCACACCAGAGCACCCGCCAACCATCCTCAAGATTGTTGGGTTTTATTTTTAAAAAGTTTTAGGAAGAGTTTTACGGCACTTGCCTCTATATTAGGTCATAGTTAGGTCTTTAATTGCCGAAGATTAATCTGCCTCCGTCGGATTGTGCAATTGTGTGACCACGGTGTGGCCGTGTTTTTTGGCATAATTCTGTAACATTTGCATAATTTTGGATTTTCCGCGTTTTATCACGTTTTTTAAGAACATTTTCCCGAAAAAATATTTTAACGCCTCGCATACAACTAAAGGGAAGTAATCGGGGTAATAAGTCTCATTTAAGTGACAAGTTGGCTATTTCCCTTGCTGGGGATTTTTGTTCCTTGAGCATAATGTTCAATTTTTCAACCCATCAATTGTTCTCATGTCTGCTGATGTTTCATGTTTGACAGGTGTCCCTGGTTTTAGTTATGTGCCAGAATCAGAGGTCCAGATGTCTTTTTGGTTTTTTTTTGTTTTGTTTCAAGTTTGTAAAAATCACATTTCTTTCCCATACAGCTGAAAGTTACAGAGATTATGCTTAACTTATGTATTTTTTTGGCTGTTTTTTTTTCTTACTGATGTGTATCTTTCCAAATACATAAAACACTACTGATACTGATATATTCTGTTTTCAATTCTTCTGTACACAGATCTAAAACATGAACATTCTTGTTGAAAAAAGCGCAAAACAAGTCTGGAATGGCGTTACTGTAATTTTAACTTGCATAATTGTTTGCATAATTTTGCATTTGTCTTGCATAATAATTTGGCCATCTAAATTTGCATAATTCTGCGGGGACAGATTAATGGTGCTACAAGAGAGTTACAAACACACAACAACAAAGAAGGAGGAGGGGACATTCGGACTAGGACGATAGATCTTTGATTGGGGGCTCTCGTGGTCGAGAGGTTACGGTTTTAGCCTCTCATTCGATAGGTCCCGGGTTCGAATTCGGATAGCGGCGGAAAATGTTCTTCTCTAAAATTGTCTCCTTTCACCTCCTTTCATGTTCTCTAGCAATGTTCTGTCGTCTGCTTTCGCCTCCACTTTTTAAAGTCACCCCCTCACCATTCCCCCCCCCCTCTGGGCTCCTGACTCTTTCTGCAGCCTTTCTACTGCAACTCCTTGCTGGCTTCTTCTTACTGCTGTCTTTCAGCCACACCCCTGATCTCCTGGTAGGTAAGATCTAACACCTTGTCTTCTTGTATAAGCAGGGCGAAAATCCTCAGCGGTCCTGTGTGCAAGTTGCGCACGTTAAAGATTCCTGGGTGGTCCAAAAATCGATAATCAGAGTAGGCTTCGGTCGCCACCTGGGCAAAATTCAAAATAAATTCCTACCAAACTAAAACTGTTTACACTGTCCCGCACGCTCATATGAACGTATTCAGTTGAGAGCGCCGTAAAACACTTACAAACAAAAAAATAATATTTAAAAAGTTGAAGGACAAACAAGACCAGAGCACCCGCTAACCACCCAGACGGAATCTGCCAACGTTCAATGCATTTATGTAATTTAGTTTATTTTAGTTTTAGTCTTTGTAAGAGTTTTACGGCTTTTGCAGAACGATTAGGCCACTTGAGTGCCGAAAATTACGGAGATTAGTCTAAATATAGGTGTTACAAGAGAGTAACAAACACACAAACAAAGAATAGGTAGAGATGAGGACGATCGATGTGTTATTTACTCTTGCCCAGCAGCACAAGATGTCCAGTAAGTTTACTTTCATCGTTTGCGCACTGGGTTTAGTTTTAGTAAGGTTTTACGGCGCTCGCAACTGCATAAAGTCATATGAGCGCCAAGGAGTGGATGTCAACAGTGAAGTCCTTACAGGGAATCAGGTTTACTCTGCTCACCTTTCTAGATCTAGCTTCAGCAGCACAAAGTTTTCTTCGACTATCAAGGCACCCCGGAAATAGCAGGTCACAAGAGTGTTACAAACATACAAAAGAAGTAGAGGAAAATGACGATAGTAAGGATGAGTAAAGAAAAAATAGCAGTTTCCTGTTGTAGTTCAAGCACAGTTATGAGCATGACAGTTGGATCAGCCTATTTACAATTCTACTGTGCACTAGAAATGCCCCCCCCCCCTTTCGGCTTTCGGGAATGGCCTAAAGACTCTACAGTCAGCTGCACTGCCCCCCGGGGGGGGGGGGGGGGGCACTGAGTTTGAAAGATTACAAAGCTTACAATCCCATAATATGTCTCCGTGGTTTTATGAAAAAAACAATACAAAAGAAAAAAATCATAAATTATGCAAACTGAGCCCAAAAATGTGAAAT